CTAATGTTTTGTTTGTTCCCAATTTTGCTCACAATTTACTTTCTGTTTCTCGGCTTGTCAAAGATCATGCCTATATTTCTTTCATTTCATCCTGACATTTGTATCTTGCAGGATCCTTACAGTGGCATGATCAAGGGGATTGGTAGAAGGCTTAATGGCCTTTATATTTTTAGTCTACTAAAGGAGCTACTGGTTTGACTTCTAATTCTTTGATTGGTTCTGGGGTTAATTCTTGTGTTCATCATGGACCTGTTGGTTCTGATTTCAATAAAACTAGTCTTTGTCATGCTAGATTTGGGCATGCTTCTGCTTCTGTTATGAAAAAATTATCCTATTATGTTTCTGATAAATTTGATTTAAAGTCTATTCATACTTGTAGTGTGTGTCCTTTAGCAAAAAAGACCAGATTACCATTTCCTCTCAGTACTACTAGGTCAATAAAACCTTTTAAATTAATTCATATAGATTTATGGGGTCCTTATAGGATATCTACTCATAGTGGTCATAGGTATTTCTTGACTATTGTTGATGATTGCACTAGAATGACTTGGGTTTATCTCTTAAGGTTTAAAAACGATGTTATTTTGTTTGTCAAACAGTTTCTCTCATTTACCTCCACTCAATTTGCTTCTGTTACTAAAATAGTTAGAAGTGACAATGGTACAGAATTTTTCAATTCTTATTGTTCTCTTTTTTTCTCTTCTCTTGGTATTTTACATCAAAGTTCTTGTGTTCAAACCCCACAACAAAATGGAGTTGCCGAAAGAAAACATAGACATCTTTTAGAAGTGGCTAGGGATTTACGTTTTCATTTAAAAGTGCCTATTAAATTCTGGGGTGAATGTGTGTTGACAACTTGTTTCCTTATAAACAGACTTCCTTCTTCTGTTTTGCAATGAAAAACACCTTATGAAATTCTTTATCACAAACCTCCTGATATGTCTATTCTGAAAGTTTTTGGTTGTTTATGTTATGCCACTGTTCCTAAACAAACTGATAAGTTTGCTCCTAGAGCTTTACCTTCTGTTTTCATGGGATATTCTAACACTCAAAAGGGCTATCTCTTGTTTGATCTTACCTCTAAGAAATTTTTTGTCAATAGGGATGTTATTTTTCATGAACAGGTATTTCCTTTTCACTTTCCTGTTCAGAGTGATTCTTTCTTTTCTTCTACTCCTTTTGTTCCTGATTCTGAATTTTTAGACCTTTCTTTTGGGCAACAACTTATTCCTACTATTTCTCCTTCCAGTTCTAAATCTAGGCAATTATCACAACAGCTAGAAACTCCTATAGGTCCAGTAGCTCCAGTCTTGGTTAGGAAATCTACTAGGGTTCCTAAACAACCTCAATGGTTGACTGATTTTATTTGTAATTCTGTTTCTACTTCCAATTATCCCATTTCAGATTTTATTTCCTATAAGCATCTTCCATTTGGTACATAATCTTTTGTTTCTTCTATTTCACAATCGGTTGAACCTACATCCTATAATGAGGAAATTCAACATCCAGAATGGGTACAGGCTATGAAAGATGAAATTCTTGCCCTTGAAATAAATAAAACTTGGTCAGTTGTATCCTTGCCTTATGGAAAAGTTCCTATTGGTTGCAAATGAGTTTATAGGATTAAATACAATGCTCCTGGTACTATAGAAAGATTTAAGGCCCGATTGGTGGCCAAAGGCTATAGTCAGAAAGAGGGTGTAGATTACGTGGATACCTTCTCACCAGCGGTTAAATTGGTCACTGCTCGTTTTTTCCTTGCCATTACTTCTATATTTGATTGGCCTATGTTTCAGCTTGATGTGTATAATGCTTTTTTGCAAGGAGATTTGTCTGAGGAAGTGTATATGGAACTTCTTCCTGGTTTTTGCAGTCAGGGGGAGAATATGGTATGTAGACTACAAAAATCCCTTTATGGTTTGAAACAAGCATCTAGGCAGTGGAATTTGAAGTTAATTGAGGCTCTTTTAGGGGTTGGTTATGAACAAATTACGTTTGATTATTCTTTGTTCACAATGAGAAAGGATAAGAAGATTGTAGTTTTGTTGATTTATGTTGATGATTTGTTGATCACTAGCAATGATAATTGTTTGATTGATGATTTGAAGAATCTTTTGAACAAGAAGTTTAAAATGAAAGATCTTGGTGAACTGAAGTATTTTTTGATTATGAGATCAAAAGAAGGGATTTTAGTTAATCAGCGCAAATATGCTCTTGAGTTGATTGAGGAAATAGGAGTGAGTGGTTCAAAACCAGCAAAAACACCCCTTGAACAGAACATTAGGCTTACTACTACATAATATGATAAGCTATGCACAATAGGGAATAAAGAAGTTGATGAATTTTTAGCTGATAAGAGTGTTTATCAGAGGCTTTTTGGAAGACTCATATAACTCACACATACCAGACCTGATATAACCTTTACTGTACATCACTTGAGCCAATTTATGCAACAGCCTAAGGAATCTCATTTGCTTTATGCTTTGAGAATAGTGAGGTACATTAAAAAGAATCCAGGTCAAGGGATATTGATGGGTATGAACAACAGTAGTGAACTTGAAGCATACTGTGATTCAGATTGGGCTGCGTGTCCTATCACAAGAAGGTCTGTCTATGGTTTTTGCATCAAGTTTGGAAATTCACTGATTTCATGGAAATCTAATAAGCAAAATATCATAGCCAGATCATCTACTGAAGCAGAATATAGAAGCATGGCTGTTACATCAGCAGAATTGAATTGGTTAAATGGTTTAGCCAATGAGCTTGGGTTGGAAAGAAAATATCCGATCAAGCTATATTGTGATAACAAGGCTGCTCTTCAGATTACACAAATCCAGTTTATCATGAGCGCACAAAGCATATAGAGATTAACTGTCACTTTGTAAGAGAGAAAATACAAGAAGGGCTTATCAAGATAGAATTTGTGTCTTCTTCAGAGCAATTAGCAGATATATTTACTAAAGCTCTAGGTGTACAACAACATGAATATCTTGTATCTAATTTGGGTGTAAAAGATATATTCTACCCACCAACTTGAGGGGGAGTGTTAGAAGTTAAGTTTGATATTTTCTGTTTTAATTATAACTAATTGTCAGTTAGTTAGTTAGATTAAAATTGTATATATAGTTGTATTATATTCATTCTAATACATGAGAGATATTATCCAATTCTAGTATTTTCCAATTTCAACATAAACCAACCAAACACAAAATACAACATTCCAGTAATTTTATTCTCGCCGGTAATCATATTCCCACTGATAATCTTATATTCCGTGAACCAAACGCACCGTAAGAGGGTTGGTTAAGGTAATCTGAGATTACCGAGGAAATGAAATCTTATTCCCATGTTTGGTTGACCAACATTCCCAGCCCTCGATAATCTTTTATTACCAACAGTAGTATTTTGGGGGTATATTAATGGGAATGTAATTACCCTATTCTCTTCGGTATTATTGGATTACCGACGTTTTGGGCTAAAATGATCTTAAATTTTTTTCTTCAAAAATATCTTTATTCTGTCGATGAATAATAAAAATTCTACAAATGTTAAATTATAAATTTATCCTTAAACTATTTTAGATTTACAAAAAAATCTATAATTAAAAATTTATATGAAATTCAGTGGTTAAAATAAAATTTTACCATTTCATTAAACCTATTTATCTTTTTAATTTTCTAAAAAAAATTATATAAATTTTATGAATTTAAACTTTTTTAAAAAAATATATAAATTAATTATAATAAAATTCAACTTGTTAAAAAATAAATATATAATAAGAATAGTTTGGTAAAATATATATATTCTAATAATCTTTTATTTCTTTAATCAAACACTGTAATGTTATATTCCTGCTAAACCAATCAAACACAAAATAAAATATTCTCAATAATCTTATTCTCACCGATAATTCTATTCTCACTAATAATCTTATGTTCCGTAAACTAAACGCACAATCTCTTTTTTCACGTCCTCCAAATCCTTTCAATTTGGATTGAATAAAGATGAGGACAACCTTGGAGTTGGAATTAGGATCACGTTGAAGATCACGGTCATTGCCTCGGTAATCTTCGGTTCCACCAGACATATCCACGCCGGCGTCCATCTCTCCTTCCTCATCGGGAATCTCCCCCCATACACCTCGTGTTCTTGCTCTTCGTGTTGCTCCATTACCTATCTCTCTCTATTGAGAGCTGAGAGTGGAACTTATCAAATTAGGGTTTTAAATAGAATTAAACGGAACGAAAGAAAACAATGGTGAGGCTGAGATTCGGCGGCCCCTGCCTTCGATCATATTATTTTCTGACTTCCATGGATGATTATGAGATGATATTGGCGGAAGAAGGTTAAATTTGGTATTTACTACAAAACCTTGAGGGTACTTCTGACTTTTCGTGTTCTGCTCAAAAAGAGGCCTGAACACTATATTCAGGTCTAGGTCAGCATTATCTCCTAACCTTTTTTTAGGAAAATAATGAAAAAAAAATATTTCACCTTTTTTTTACAATGACAATTGAATTTTTATTAACCATAGAAGAATTACAATGCATTAAAATATAGAAAAAAAATTAGAGATTAGAGTCAGTATATATTTATATAAAAATTAAAATTAAAGATAAGAAGAAAATTAAAATCTTTTAATGAAAATTACAACCAATATTAAAACCTATACGTGACCATCGACTAACCAATCAAATATATACGTCATATTGGTTTTTGTGCGAAAATCAAAATGACCGTAGAGGTATGCGAAAAATGTACAAACAATCATGAGGACAGTGCAACAAGAACAGAAAAAATTATGTCACAAGGACGTAGAATTCTATTCAAAATTAAAAAGATTCAAAAAAAAAAAGTATAAATATAATATAAAATACATTATTGATAATTATAAAATTTTAAAAATATATTTTTAAATGTAATATAAGATTTTTGCTAGTTCAAATTCGAGTTTGAGTTCGAGTTTGAATCGAGCCCGAGTCTCGAGCTTCAATCGAGTTCCTGAATTTTTTTTGAGTTTGAGCCTTTTCGAGTTCGAGTCAAGTTTCAATATTATATTTCAAGTTCGAGCTGAGCTTGATAATGTTTAGCTCACGAGTTTTGGAGTCGAGCTTAATTTTAAATTTTTCGAGTTTGAGTCGAGCTCAGCAATACTCGAGTTCGACTCGGCTCGTTATACCATTGCCTTCGGTCATAATAACAGCCGGTTGCACATGCAACTGATTTACATGAGATTTTGGTGAAGGGGACCCTTTGGTTTCAATCCGTTAACGCTTCATTTCTTCGCTCCTAACCGTACTTGATAATCCCATTCCATCTAGTTTTCTCTTCGGCTTCTCGTTTTTCTTCGCAATCGTCTTATCTAGCTCAGCAGCAATTTCTTCTTCCAACTTCACTATCTTCTCTTTGACAAGGTATGAACCAAGAAGGTCCGTTGGATCAATACCACGATCTTCAAAATAATGGACTATCGATTTTAGAATACCTAATAGCTTTTCATTACCCTTTCTCTGCAAAAGGCCATAACACAATAAATACAACGTTGAAGGATGAGAAAACAGGTAAGATCGTTTATGTGACAACTGACAAGAGATTAAAAGGGATCATACCAGCAACTCGGATGAGTTATGTGCTTCCCGTTTTTCCTTCTTGAATGCTTCAATAGGATCTTGCAAGAATGAAGTCAAAATTGTCTTGGGGGAGAATTTATCCTCAAGCCCAAAGATTAGAATGCATTCCATTCTCCACCATACTATCTATGATATCTGTAGCAGACAAAAGTGTCTTACATTAGTCTCAAGAATTACAACAATGAAGACCCTCTACCCATAATAAAATATTAATGTAAGTCAGATGCAAGCATATTTGGTACTTCAATAAAAGATATGTGATTTCTGTGGAATTTTTTTTTGTTATGTACGCTTACAGAGGCGAGGCAGAAACAACCTTTTTGAAGGGTTTATTACAGACTTTGTGTCTCTTTTTTCTAATTTCCTAAAGACTATAATGCAGCTACCTACTAGAAACTGCTATTAGGTACACAAGCATGTGCCTCCCTCGATCTCATGGAACTCTCCTAAAGTCAAGGAGATCGGAATAAGAAAGACGATAATACTTATCTCCAGGAAGCAAGCAATATAGCAAATTCGAAGGGTAACTCAGAGCCGGTAAACAGACAAAAACAGGTTCTATAGAACACCAGGAAAGGCTATGCTTCATCTCTAATGCATTCTACTTTTGCGGCGAGATGCATGGCTGTAAGGTTACATGGTAAGTGAACGACCCAAATTGATTTCCCAATCTGTAGTTACAACTTACAACTTACAATGGCAGCAATATAATTCTTAATTCATTTGTTGAGCTTATAAAATTAATAGCGTTATGATCTTTCCTAAACTGAACTTAACCAAAAAGAAAACGACTGTATTTATTATGAAAAGGATAGTTAGCATTTAAAACTAGGATACGGAATTTCGAGGAAGAATAAAAATTACGGGAACTTCAAATTCCCTGACCCTTTAGTCCCGGAAATCAATTTGCGGGCATCTAGACTAGTAGTGTAAAGGAGACACTTGTGCTCGTAATCTATTCAAGTTCGACTTGAAAAAAAAAAACTTGAATCTGATTCGGTCATTCTCAAGCCATGCTAGAGCGCTATGAAGCGAGCCGAGTTCAGGCATCTTAATAATAGATTCTAATATTGTTATATATCCAGAGATATTCCTCCGGAGTTTCAGAACCTCGTCTATTGGAACTATTGAAGCTTCCGAAGGAATTTCTCCACTAATTGAGGCCCCTGGAGATTCTTATCCTCTGGTTGGCTACAATCCTTTGATAGGACTATTGGCAGGCCAATGACATCCGCTAGGGCAAAATCTCAGTGTCATGCTTTCTTGTTGGAAGTCAAACTCTTCTGGAATTATGTGGAGCAAATTAAAGATGGAAGGCAACGTGGCAATGTGGAAAACAAATCAAAGTGTCGGCAGCAACAAATTTGGCAGTATCACATGCAAAGTTTTTTCAAAGATAGACGTGGCAGCAATTAAAAGAAAATGGACATAGAATTTTATCACGGCAAGGAAACTTATCAACGTGTACGGTAGTAGCAAATTGAGTTGGCAACCGATTACAAAATACGTAATCTAGAAGCAATTTCATGTCGGTTTATTACAACTATATATGTGTAATGTATGGAAGTTATATGCAATATATACAAGTGAAGAAAAGAGTGAGAAGTGAGGAAAAGAAAATCTACGAGTGAGAGAAAGTTAGAGAGAAAAAAGAGAGAGCGCTTAGCAAAGCTATTGGTGAGTTTGTAAACTAGTCATAGTTAGTATTACAGTATTGTAATATTGAGGTAGTGTCGTTATAAAATATTTTGTTTCGTATAAATAAAAGTCTGAGTTATAAAATACCGAGAGAGAGCTCATCTACACTTCCAACAAGTGACCTCAGAACTTGGTTCGAGTTCAACGTGGTGGAGAAGATGGCCAACATGATTCAACCACAAATCTCGAGATTGACAAAGACGAATTACGAAAATTGTAGCATTCAAATGAAGGCGTTACTAGGCTCCCAAGATTGTTGGGATATCATCGAGGATGGTTACACCGAACCTAAAAATGCAGCAGCAGAAGCAGCCCTGGCCAATGAAGAAAAGAAGATATTGAAGGAATCTCGGAAAAAAGATAAAAGAGCGTTCTTTATTTTTCAAGGAGTAGACAAATCTACCTTTGAAAAAATTTCTGATGCGAAGAATCTATACAAGGTCGAAAAAGAAAAAAATGTACGCTTACAAACTCTTCGAGCTGAGTTTGAGATGTTAAAAATAAAAATACAGAAACCATCGATGATTATATTAGTCGTGTGAAAGCAGTTGTAAATGAAATGAAAATAAATGGTGAATCACTCGACGATGTTAGAGTGATGGAAAAACTTTTGTGGTCATTAACAAAAAAATTCGATTACGTGGTTGTGGCAATCGAAGAATCAAAATATTTATCTCAAATTTCGATTGATGAGCTTGTGGTTTCACTTCAAGCCCATGAGCAGAAAATGAAACAAAATGAAGATTCAGAAAATCTAGAGCAAGCTCTACAAAGCAAGATGAATGTCAACGAAGGAGAAGCTAGCAGCAGCTACACACGAGGACGAGAAAATCGTGGAGGTTATCGTGGTAGACACAGAGGAGGACGAGGAACTCGTGGACGTGGTGGTCGATCATATGACCCCGATCAAATGAGTGAAAATATTCCAACATCAGGTCATGGACGAGGATTCAGAGGCCGAGGTAGGGACATATATCAACAAGGAAATAAATTCCAGGTACAATGTTATAATTGCAATAAGTATGGTCATTGTTGTTATGACTGTAGATTTGCTCCTAAACAAGAAGAAAGAAATAACGTAGCAGCAGCTGAAGAAGAAAAAATTGAAAAATCTCACGTTTTCCTAACTTATAAAGGAAATGAAGAATTCAAGAAAAATATTTGGTATATTGATAATTGTGCCAGCAACCATATGTGTGGTCAAAGGGATCTGTTTGTGAAATTAGATGAAACAGTCCATGGGCGAGTAACGTTCGGAGATAACTCGCACGCAGAAATAAAAGAAAAAGGCGAAGTCATAATTACTCAGAGAAATGAAGAAAAGAAATACATTTCAGATGTTTATTATGTACCTGCTTTGAAAAGTAATATCATCAGTATTTGTCAACTCCTGGAAAAAGGATATGAAGTGCAGATGAAGAATCGCTCGATTGCCATCAAAAATAAAGAAGGATAATTGATAGCCCAAGCTGCTATGACTCGAAATCGTCTCTTTACAATTGATATCGAGTCGGGAGAAGTCAAGTGCATGAAGACCGCGATCAAAGATGATTCATGACTGTGGCATATAAGATATGGACATCATGGATTTTCTGGTTTAAAGATGTTATAAAAAACAAACATGGTGAAAGGACTACCGGAGATCAACCCTCCAAATCAATTATGTGGGGCTTGCATCAAAGGAAAGCAACATAAACAAAGCTTTGAAGTTGGTAGATTCTGGCGTGCCTGAAGACCGCTGGAGATAGTACACACAGATATAGTCGGTCTTTTTGACATACCATCGCTTGGCGGTAACAGGTACTACCTAACTTTCAATGATGATTTTAGTAGAAAATGTTGGATTTATATCTTGAAAGAAAAGTCAGAAACGGTGGAAAAATTGAAATAATTTAAAGCAATGGCGAAAAAACAAAGCGGTCAATATTTGAAGATACTCAGATCAGATAGAGGAGGCGAATATACATCAAAGTTATTTGAAGAATTTTGCAAGGAACATGGCATCATCCATCAGCTGACATCCAGATACACGCCACAACAAAATGGAGTTGCAGAAAGAAAGAACCGTACAATCCTGGATATGGCGAGAAGCATGATAAAAGACAAGCAACTACCGAGAAATTTCTGGGCTGAAGCAGTTCGATGTGCAGTTTACCTATTGAACCGATGTCCAACAAAAAGCTTGAAGTATATGACGCCAAACGAAGCATGGAATGGACAGAAACCAGGAGTTGGACACCTCAAGATTTTTTGATGCATCGCATATGCCCACGTTCCTGAACAGACCAGAAAGAAGCTTGATGACAGAGAAGAAAAATGTATTTTCATTGGCTATGATAAAAGGAGAAAAGCTTACAGATTATATAATCCTCTTACAAAGAAGATAATAATTTCAAGAGATGTCGAGTTCGATGAAGCAGACTATTGGAGATGGAGCAAAGAGGAAAAGAAAGTTGAAGGACTATTTTTTAAAGATGACGATCTTATCAATCAAGCTGATGATCAAGGTCCTCAACAAAATGTACCATCGTCGTCAAGCAGCAGTAGCGATGCCAGTAACATAATAGAAGATCCTGAAGCACCTTCCACAGAACTTCGAAGATCCACAAGAGAGAGAACAATGCAGAAAGGTACAATGATTATAAACTAAATAATGTTTCACTTTTATGCTTACTTGTGAATAGTGATCCAATAACATACGAAGAAGCGGTTGAAGATGACAAATGGAGGAATACAATGGATGAAGAAATTGCATCAATAGAAAGAAATGATACATGGGAGCTAACAAGACAACCAGAAGTCCATAACCCAATTGGAGTAAAATGGGTTTACAAGATAAATACCAATAAAGAAGGAAAGGTCGAGAAGCACAAAGCGAGGCAAGTTGTCAAAGGCTATAAGCAAAGACAAGGAGTAGACTATGATGAAGTATTTGCTCCAGTAGCAAGGATCAAGACCATCAGACTTCTCACAGTAGTTGCAGCACAAAAAGGATGGAAAATTTACCAGATGGATGTGAAGTCAGCATTTCTAAATGGCTACCTAGAAGAAGAAGTTTATATTGAGCAACCACTTGAATACATTAAAAAAATACATGAAGATAAAATTTATCGATTGAAGAAAGCACTATATGGTCTGAAGCAAGCCCCTAGAGCATAGAACATGAGAATTGATGAATATTTCCAGAGAAATGGGTTCATGAAGAGTCCATACGAGCATGTTTTATACACAAAGAAAAATGAAGATGGTGATATCATGATCATGTGTTTATATGTGGACGACATGATTTTCACAGGAAATAATCCAGGTATGTTCAATGATTTTAAGAAAGCTATGACTAAAGAATTTGAAATGACAGATATTGGAGAAATGTCATACTTTCTTGGCGTTGAAGTGAAGCAAATGCAAGAAAGAATATTTATATCACAAAAGAAGTATGCAGAAGAAATTTTAAGAAAATTCTGAATGGAAAATTGCAAGCCGGTAGCCACTCCAGCAGAACCATGAGTCAAATTAAGTGTGAATTCAACAAGAGAGCAAGTGAATCCGACGTTGTTTAAAAGCATCGTTGGAAGTCTAAGGTATTTGACTATCACACGACCAAACATAACATACGTTGTGGGATTGGTAAGAAGATTCATGGAGAATTCGAAACAAGATCATTGGAGTGCAGCAAAAAGAATCCTCAGATATGTCAAAGGTACAACAGGTCATGGTTTGTTCTACACGCATTCAGAAAATTCGAAGCTGGTTGGTTATTCTGATAGTGATTATGGGGGAGACTTAGACGATCGGAAAAGCACAACTGGATATCTATTTCATATCGGATCTGCAGTATTTTCATGGTCATCAAAGAAGCAACAAACGGTAGCTCTTTCAACATGTGAAGCAGAATACATAGCCGCAGCAGTGTGCACTTGCCAAGCAATGTGGTTAAAGAATATTTTGAACGAGCTAAATTTGGCACAAGAAGAACCAATTACAATCTATGT